ATTGCTCATGCAGCCTGGAGCCTCTAATCTCATCTCTTTCCTAAAGCTTCGTGCCGATTTTAACAAAAAGGAGATATTTTACGCGATTTCTTATGCACTGCCACCACAATGCCCCAGTATTTTGCGATAGCACCCTAGTTCAATTTCTTTTCTCTCTCTTTTTCTACTTTTTTTTTGCTGAGCAGAAGCTTTTCAGTGGTGATTGGAAGGTATTCACCGGCAACGAAATGGGCGCCTTAATGACGTGGTGGGTTTGGACGAATTGGTCCGAGGTAATACCGATTTTTCATACCATCCCAACAGATTTTTTCCAACATCATTTCCTCTTTTGCTACTTTTTCGTAAAAAAATCACGGGAATATAAATCTTTTCAGGCACATCCCTGATGTAAATAAATCAGATGTTTACATCCTGAACAGCGCTGTCTCGTCACAAATAGTCAAAACAATAGCTGATGAGGAAGGTGGGCAAATTATTTTTTGATATTATTAGACTTTTTCCTGTACTATTTTTAATATTGTCTATTTTAAGGATTCAAAAGTGATGTAACGTTGACTGGTTTCAAATGGATGGGCAACAAGGCGGACGAACTGCGAAAGCAGGGCAAACATGTGATTCTATCCTGGGAAGAAAGCATTGGATTTATGCCTGGACATCCATTGGACAAGGTGACGCTGCAATCTCGCCTTTATCAATATTTCCGGGCGAAACGGAGACGTTATGGGGCTCCCCAACGCAAGTGGGACGAATTGGCTAGGGGACTTAAGATACAGAAAGAGACGTCTTACAATGACTCCGCATACCCCCACTTTTGAGAAGATGAACAGCTTACCCACCCTCGCCGGGTCAGTCAGCCACTGTCGGGGTAATTTTAGCAATACCTTCCTCCTTCCTCTCCCATGAACATACGACCTACACCTTTCCCGGCCAGTTTTAACCGTCCGTTGGTACAAGTCCCAAAAAGTGTAGGGGGGGCGTGTTTACGATTTTGAAAAAAGGGGTCGTCGCTTCTATACGACCTGCTTACCCTACCCCTACCCCGCTCGATCGCCATTTTAGGGCAAAGTGAGCGGAGTTGGAGCGCATCGAGTGGCCATGGAAGAAATACTATAGAAACTGAAGCAGCCATGATGGTAAGGGAGGTATTGGGGTACCCCTATGGATAGTATTGGTGGTGGTAGGGATCGTAAGGAGACTCTCTTCGGAAAGGGTTAGGGGTTGTAAAACTTTTGAAAAAATACCGACGCTAGGGTCGACCCAACTGCTGGTTCCCTCCTCTAACTTTCAGTAAGTGACAGTGGTTATCAGTGTTTCCTTGGGATTCCTTGTATCGGTGGCCGATAAAGGGTACGGTGGCTGACTCATGCAACTTGCGAATTTTATGCCGCTGTTGTTTCTTTTCTAGCTTATCCATAACTACGAAGCCCGCCTACAGCCCGGTCAGAAAATCACCTTTCTTCGACAGTATGCATCACGGTTCAGCGACCTCTTGACGACGGGAGTAAACGATACACCCTTTTTCGCACGTAAATCCACGCACTAGACAAGTGAGCTGACTCGATGAGTGACGTTACGTTGGAGATTTTTCGCAATTGGCAAGTTTTTGAAGTTTTTTAGCTGCTGTCTTTAGTTGGTGAGGGTTACGGTTTCCTGTTCCTATGATAACCCACCCCCGTGCCCTCCCCTTCCCCCTCAACGCCCAGTGCCCTATATTTTCCTGACTTCTCAAACCAAATAGCTGCGATAGCGACCTTAGTTAGCCGCGCTCAGTTCGTTCTATACTCCTACACTCTGAGGATGTTTTCCGAGAAGTAAGCCCCAAATGTTTTCAAATCATACGACATTTGAGTTTTGTTACAAGGAATACGGTGCGTATCGATCGATATTTCTCTGGTTTAGTTTATGAACGACAAGGTGGAGTTAAAATGAATCCGTTACGGAGTGCTGTTCCTATCGTGACGTCCTAATGCTAAGCGATTGCACAGAGTGTCGTGGAGTGTTGAATTCGCGCCAAAAGTACTCATCACGCGCCGCGCGCGACAAAAGTTCGTGGTGCGCTCCGTTCGAATCAGGCATGTTGCGATTGGGACCATATGTTTGATTTGGAGCAGGGGTAGCATTTTTTGAAGCAGCGAGTTGTTCGATCCTGGATTCGTTCCAAGTTGCACTGATCGGACTGATGAATCGGGCAATCTGCGAAAAACGATAGCTCGGCTTTTGATTTTTATTTGGCTTCCCTTCATAGTGAGTGTTTTGGGGGATAGTCAGTGAATCGATTCGTATCCATTATTGCTCGCGTATTATCGGTTTTTACGGTTTGCTCAGTAAAAACGCGTCCTGCAACGCATTTATACTTGGCGAACCGTAAAATTTGATAATCCCCGACCACCACAAATAATTTCCCATTTTGGGAATTGGCTCAATCTCTCTGCGCCAACTCATAAATTTTGCTCCAGTCGCGAAATCACGAATTTGAACGATTCGCACTTATATCAGTGAATTTTGTCGCACGCGACGCGCGGCGTGAACTGTTGACACATGCCCTATTGTGTTTAGTGTGGAATTGCGTATGTCACACGCATGAGACTCGTTTGAATTGTCGGAAGTTCCTTCATATGAAGCAACTTGTAATCATGGAGGAGCTCTCAACTGACTAGCCGTAAAAAAATTTAGAGCAGCCCCAGTTGATCAATTTTCATTATAGGATGGAATAAGCACAGCTGCAATGTTCGCGGAGATGGCCGCATGGTTGGAAACGCAGAAGAAGACCCTACAAGATCAACTCTTTGAAATCTACAACAAGTGGGCTGGCATTACATTTTTTATATTTCGACGGGGTTTGGATGGATTCTCCGAATACAAAAAATCAGCTTATTTAGCACTTCAGATTGACGACTTATCTTACTAACTATGTTGGCCAATTCCATTTTTTGACGCATTTTGCCTGTTTCATTAGGCGCTCATGATCATGTGGGGGGGGGGATCAAAACAGAGCCGATGTTAGGTGAGACTAGGACTAAGCCCAGCAAAGGGAAGAAACGCCAGGGAGAACACAAATAGCTCACATGCTCCCCCAGAATCCTTCTACTCTCGGGCCTAATCCAAGCACAGTAATTGGCTCACTCACTTGGATGTCTTCCTCCCCCTCCCCCCTCCCTTCCCCAAGGACATGAGCGCCTTTCACTGATGTGAGTCCCTTTCGCGCCCAGAGGAGTAGAAAATGAACAGCGTCAGATTACGCTCGCTAAAAACGAGTACGTAAAGCGCATTTGTGAAATTACAGCGAATTTGGTGAAAATAAGGGTTGCGAAAAAATTGAGATTAAGTGTTGCAAAAATTGGTGCAAATGTGGAAAAATCGATGCAAGGTGAAAATCCAAGGCGGGTGGGGAGCAAGGGGAGGGGGAGGATGCTGAAATCCCTTGCTATCTCATCTTAGTCTCTAGATTAGCACTTCTCGGGCTTTATCTAAGGATAAAAAAAACATGTGAACAACTCATTTGAAGTGCTCTTTTGATAAGGATCGATGGACGTCCTATTCTCCACACATCCTGCTTACGCCTATCTATTTTTTTGCACATAGTGGTCCACCCTAAACCTCTCCCACCGTGAAACCGAGGCGAATTTTTCCATTCCCCTGTTTCAGGACCGTTTCCTTGGACCATTGCATGCGAAATTGTGGAAGCACTTAATGGTTAATCCCACGCCACTCTGGTACTTATCAGAAGTATTCCTTAAACGAGTCGATCATCTCTCATAAGCGCTTTCGTTCTTATCTTAAGTATTGGAGAACAAAATGAAGCTCCCCCCACCAACTGGTTTTCAACAGTTCCGATCCCCGAAATGAGTGTCATTTCGTTCTGAACCTACAGAGTTGCTTCTATAATAAATTTTCAAAGAAAATAATTTTTCAAGATTCTGAGGTTGTAAAACTCAAATGAAGGCCGACCCTGATTTCCTGATTTCAGATATGGTTTCCACCTTGTTCGTTCGTCGTACTGGTTCACTCCAAGTCCTGCAGTGACCAAAGAACTATTCGCCTCATTGCGAAAAGATTTGAAGGTAAGTAAGCCTGAGGAAGAGTTGGCTCAAAATAACAAGGACATGGGGTATGTAATAATAAAAAAGAGGGTTGGGGTAGAGGCTGTGGACAAAGTTTACGGGAGAGTTTCACAGTAAAATGCTTTTTTTTGCTCCCTTGGAAATTTTTTCTTTCCACATTTTGTCAGGTTGTCTCCTTTTATACTCTTTTCTTCACTTTTCTGTTGCACTTCTCTATGACTCTTTCTTCTTTCTTTCTTTTTACTTCATTTATACTATTTATTTATTTATTTATTTATTTATTTATTTATTTATTTATTTATTTATTTATTGCACAAAGGTGCGCCAACAGTGCCAGTAGTCAACAGAAAGTCAAGAACTCGAACAAAGAATCCAATACTTGAAAAGAAGAAAACGAAAAACATTAAACAGAACGACCAGAAGAACACCAACATTCAACCATGGGAGAATATGGTACTATGGAAATTCAATACTATGGAAATTTTTCTATTTATTTTAAATTTAAAAATCAAATTCTATTGATCTATCTCCTATTTCTGCTACTTGAACTATGGTTTCACTTCGACGTGACTGCTTCACCTCCTGTGTGGCTTCCACACTGGACTCGGTCGAGTACGGCTCGGGATCGAGCCGTTGCCAAAAATTGGCAGGGAAGCGTCGGAGAGCGCCCACTAATCCTTGTGGGTCCTGCGAGTTGCTGGCCTAGAGTCAGAACTTACGTCTCGTTGTTCTTTCGAAGTGAAGTCAACTACTAGACCGTCAACTCACACTCCTCACCGCTCCCTGGGAGGGGATGAACGATGCAGTGGCGCGCCAGCAGCTGAACAACCTCGCCAGTGCGTCGTAGATGAAACTGGAGCGCCCCAGCAAACATCTCTCCGCTGTGAACAACAGCTTTTCGCTCCACCTCCTTCTACCCCCAGGCTCGCTACACAATTCTTGTTTGGCTGCTGCATTGCAGTGGAAGGCGTGTACGATTTCTCGTCGGGCAGGATTGCGGCGGAATGTGCGCAAAAGTCGATTTGGAATCGATCTATGGGTTCGGAGTCGCGAAATTGATCCTTGCAGGTTCAGAACTGTGATTTAATTGGCACTTTACTATCGATATTACGCGCACATTTGATTTCCAATAAGGATCTTAGCAAATGGAGGAGCGAACTCAGTTGTATTTGCCAGGATTCGATCCACGTATTCATGCATTCCATAGTGGCGCCTAGCGCCACTGCTCTAATTCTGCCCTTGGAAATCGCTCTAAGCTATTCTTGTAAGAGTTGTACAACGCTCGTGCAACCTGACGATTTGTGAATTTTCTGAGAAAATTGTACCGTTTAAGTTATTATTTGTAGTTGAATATTGTATCTAAATCATAGTATATTTATCATAAATTATTTTATGAGTATGTTATTTTTATTTCCAAGTATTATACACAAGAAGTATATTAT